AGACCGCATATACAGTACCATTTGCATGACTTGATGCAAGGACAAGGAGACACAGGCTGTTGTATGTACAGCGTGACAGTCTGGCTCTTTAGAGTGGACACCGGCATTAACCATCCCACAGTTTCCACCCCGTTCCTGGCAGAGACGGTGCCAGCACACCTTCTGTTTGACTGCGGATACAATACAACAGCAACCTCGGCCTGTTCCAGGAAACTCCACCTCCTTGCTACAGCCACACTTTGTAAAAGAAGCAACGATCCAGCCGGCACCCTCCAGCACTGACCCAAACACCACATTTTACAGACCCAAATACTCTCCTGCCACCCTGTCACTGCCCTTCTGTCACTACAGTAGCTGGCAAAGGACAACTGTTGCTTTCCAGCTCTCTGCTGACACCTACCTACTTCTCCATCAAACTCCCAATATTAATTTTTCCTGTGCTTCCCAGTTTCTGCCCAGTCCTGCTGACTGTCGGTGGTAAAAGGACAGCGTGTTAGAGCAGCCAAAGGCAGGCGCGGGGTCCATCTGCCAGCTGTAGCAGAGACACCGACGTATGATGAATCTGAACAATTCATTACATAATAAAACTTTGGTATCCAAAGGCCAGATTCCCTTCCGAGCATGCAATCTGCTCTATTTTCTGTATGTGAACTATCCATAAATTGCCAGCTCAGCCCACAGATGAGTAAAATTTAACTTATACAATAGCAGATGCTAGAGCTTTTTTAATTTTTTTTTTTTAGGGATTTCACAACAGTATAATCTACTGTAGAGACAAATTACTGTCATGCTAAATCTGCTTTCTGATCCCACCTCCCCACTGCAGATTCCTCAAATAAGTTGATGCTTATTATTTCAGTAAAACGGTGATGTTACATACGCCTCTGTGTACACAGTGGGATAATAAATCTGAATTATTTCTAGATGCTCTGATGCAGACAAATGTTTGAAAGCAAGTAAGTTTTAAAGTTAACTTTCACGTACCCTAAACTTTTTACCAAACTCAAAGTTTACTTGGCAGCTGCACTTTCCCAAACCTGCCCGCTGCCTTACAAAGCTATTTATTGTATCAGCATGCAGGATGTGAATTGCATGTATTTTCCTGTCACTTCTGTTCCAGCCTTTCAGAGAAAAGCCCGCAGGAGAGCTGGGTTTGGTCTCTGACCGCCTGATCATCGCCGCCCTAAGCCTCAGGGTGAGGCTACCCTGAAGCCTGTCATCTTTCAGGGAAAGCATAAAACTGACCTCGTCAGAACCCATCCAAATTTTAAAAAAATCTGGCACTTTTCCTTAATTCTACTCACCTGCGCTGAAAAGACACGTTTACAGAGCTACTCCTTACAAATCCATTGAATAACTTCTAATTCTTTGATCCTTCCTCTGTTTGGTTTGTTCTTATTGCTGTATGACGTTAAATGAATGTTTCCTTTCAACCTAGACTGCAAAATAGTGTTTGTATGACTGGCCGAATGAGAGCTGAGCATCTTCCCAGATAAAAGGTGACATAAAAATATAACAGCACTTTCATGTGAACAAAAGCATAATTTTAACAGAAATGAGCAGCTAAAATTCTGTGTCATCTTCCTGTGGTCATTTTAGCAATAGTATGTGTGTTATCCCAGACAAACTAGAAAAGCTGCTTACCAAAGGCTGCATGTTTCATCATCTCATAAAAAAATGTAATCACTCATAATTCAAATTCGAGTATAGTTTTCCAAGCTGCAGTAATTAAAACTGTTTTGTTTATAGCAGAGAGGAAAACAAGGAATTTTTCCAAGCTATTTGCTAAAAACAACTTTTGGGGCAGATTTTCACACACATTTAGATGCCTAAAGACCTACTGGCATTTTCCAGGATTAGGTGCCAGCGTGCTATTAAAACCCAGACAACTATTTGCACTGTTGGGCAATTAAATGCCTCCAAACTCCAGCCCTCCATCCTGCAGCACATGGTAACTTGGAGAACTTCCATCACCCAAATATTTGCATATAAAAATGTTCCATAACAGCTTATGAGCAACACCATAAAACCCACTGAAGTAGCAGTTACATTTGGCAGTAAGCTACTGAGTAGGACTATGAGAAAGAAAGAGGTAGGTACCCAACACACTAACGGTTCTGCCCAAACGCTGAACTTGCTGGCAGCATGTTTTCTCATCACTGAGAGGACTTCTGCCATGTTGAAGTGCTTCAAGAACATCTTACAGAAGTATCAGCCACATCACTTTGTTTTGTTCTTCTGGTAATTAAGTCCCCATACTCCTGGTAAGGGCAGGAGGGGCTCTGACTGTGGCAGAGAGCTAAATTAAAAATAAGCAAAGCCTTTCTTTTTACCACTAGAAGTTACAAGTCACATTTATCTCCAAAAGCATGGCAGATCTTTTGTTTTTTTTGCAAAGAGTTCGGAATCTGGAACCATCCTATAGCAATCACAAACTGTATTTTAGATCACTTTTTTGGACAAGTTTTACACAAGGCACGTGAATAAACCCCTAACTATACATTAACAGCAGTACTAGAGGTAACCCATGGAAGCTACATGGTGAGGACAGGTCTGCTCATAGGATTATGGTTTGACTTCCATTTTCCCCAGTTTGCTACTGGAAGTTGAAGGCACATTATTTTATTTATTTAGGAAAAAGGTTTTCCATTTCTGTGAGCTCCTGTTGTTCAAGTGAGAAAACTTTGGTTTCTTCAACAGAAGCTTCAAGCCTTTAACTTGACAGGGAGGCCTGCAAGGTACTACAAAAACAACAACCAACCAGTTTTTAACAGATGCAACAGTAAGGTTTGGCCTCCTGCTTCAGCATCCTAAACATAATTTAGTGCATGAGAATATTAAGTGAATTTAAAAAATAAGTGAAAGTCATCTCTTCTATTTGTCCTATTCAACTGAAGTAAAAAAAGAGAAACAGAAGCCTAAAAAGTAAAATACTTCATTTGTGGAAAGCCTTATAGGATAATTACGTTGACATTAACAAAGGCTATAAGTACAAATTTGTATCCAGCCATCTGGCTAATCCTAGCTGAAGTTACTATGGCGTACACAAATCCCTGTGCACAGAGAACCACGCACAGGCACAGATTCACAGCCCTGCTCAACCTGAAAACCATATTTTTAAACTTGTGACTCCTCCTGTAAGGCCAGCAGCAACCTGATGACCTTTACTATTCTGTCAAATCTTGACCCATGCTGCAAGTCCAGGATTCAATGCAAGCAATTTTCAGCAACGCACAGAAAGGCAGCCTTTGTAGCGAACCTGGGTAATATATTTTCCTGGCCAATAGATTTTTATTATAGAAATATTGCATCTTCATTATATATCATGATGGAAAACACTGCATTTCAGTGCACCAGGCAAGCTATGCTCATTTTAAATATTAAATACAAATAGGCACATAGCAAGAGATTTAACCCTGCAAGCCCGCCAGTGGAGGATCCTTAATTGAATAGCAGTTCAGTTAGATAAACCTGGTCCCAAGGAGCTCTAAGGCCAGGCCATTCCAGTTGTACTGAATATGTGCTTACAAAGCAGATCACCACTGTCCATCAAATAAGAAAAATCTTTTAAACTGGGAATCTTGTAAGAAATACTTCTTTTCCCTTCAGAAACATGCTAGGCTGATAAACAGAAAAGTACATCTTAGCACAGGACAGATGACAATGGCAATTGTCAACTCTCAAGCACATTTTTATTTATTTGAGAGATTTCTGATATTTTACATTAATATTGAGGCTACATTCAAATCAATTTATAGGTTAAATTCTGCCTCAAAAACAAACACCCACCTCTCCTTCTGAGGCACTTAGTGAAACCCTCACTGGCACAAAACTTCCACTCACCGATATAAATTATAATGCATATCTGAAAAACAGGATTGGGCTGTGAATTGCATCTTAAGAGGATGCAGTCAAAAAATCATAATACCCTAGATATCACTCCTGATAACTTCTGGAAGCCAAAGCTGACATGTTATCGCAGGCCAAAATTTTGTTTTCTTCATAAGTACGCTGCCTTGTTAGTCTAGTGTTACTGCCATAACATTTTATTTAAATAACATTTTCTATCGGGACAAACACACGGAATACAAGAATTACACAGACAATGCAACACAAAAAACTAAGTCAAGTTTTGAATCGCAATCTCGCTGTACAAAAGCAAGATGTCAAAGACTTGTGGATAAACCTATATTACAACATAATGTCCTGTTGTGCCTCAATTCTGTAGCATCTCTGAAAACATCCTCCCCTTACACAGAACTGGTTTTGTGCTGTTTAGGGACAGCAGAGAATTATTCAATGAAAGTTTTAGATTCAAGGTGGATGATCCACTTTTGATGCTGGTTTACATTAGGAATAGTTTTGGAGATATGAATAAAGGACTCAATTTTCAAAAGTGAATGTTTCTATTGAGTACCTCGATTTTAAGATATTCTGTATGAGAAACCTGAGACCTGATTTTCAAAGTGATACATACGTTCGACTCCAGGAAAACTGCTAAGAATTACAGGTACTCAGCAGCTATGAAATCAGAGCCTATGGTTTGACACAGGGTTTTTAAGAGCAGAAACACCCAAAATGTCCCTTCACATTACTTTGCTTTATAGACATAATTAAATTAAATAACTTGTTTGTGTGTGCTCTTGTCTGTATGCATACACATATGCATCCCTGACACTGCAGCTTTTAAATCTGAGCAACTTTAGCCAAAGCTCTGGAACTCTTAGTGAGGTATAAAACTGAATTACCCACAGGTAAAGTTAAGCATGTCCATAAATAAGCATATAAATTTAACAAAACTGTGCCTGCAAAAAATCAGGCACTGAATTTTCTTGCTTTTGTAAGAGTCCATTAATATATTAATAGAGGTTTTACATATTTTATACACTCAGATATATACATATATTTTATCAGTAATGTGTGCTTACATACATACATGTGCACACATGCAAACATATGTGTACACTTATCACACACACGCTCACATTCCCTTACCTGCACACATTCAAGTTCTTCGTTTTTAAAGAAAATGCCACCATTTAATAAACACTGGAATTGGTTCCAGGTTCTCCAGGATTTTAGAATTATAGAAAAAGGTAACTTACATTTGTCATTGCATATGAAAAAAAAATCAGGACTTTAAAACCAAATTAAAATAAAAAGAAAGACCACACACACCCCTCATGCTACCAGCTTTCCAATTAGGAATCAAGATATTGGAATGAATCTGGTATAAATACAATAAGCAATGGCAGCTTTTTGTATGAGTAGTTTTTACAATATGTGATCTTTTGGAAGATAAATTAGTACCAATTTATGGTGAGCAAAAAGTTCTTTCTTAGACAGGTCATTGCTGAGCCCCTTTCCTCTTCTGCTCTAGCTCTTGCAGGCGTTCCTCCCGGCACTGAGCATGCTGCGTTCCCACTTTGTGGGCTGTCTCGGTGGCTGCAATGTCAATTTGGGCATATCGGGATGATCCACTCCCTGAAATATCAAATGAAATAATGTAAAAGACTATATCCTTCATATATTCCTGAGCAAAACTGACCTAGGGTTAAGCTATTGAGACACTTCTTCCACAGATTTCCTAGATGATTTTGATCTGGTCTTAAAGCAAGCTCTATAAAGGGAGTAAGATGATAACCACAACTAAAAAATTTTGAAAGCTTTGTTATCCACATATTTTAGCTATCTGGTTTTCTTCAAATAAGCAAATGAACCACTTGTATTTCTGCCCCAGGTTTGAATCTCCACCCCTACTCCTCCCAGTAGAAGACAACATTGAACTCAGCTCTCCCACTTTTGGGAGGCTTCATCAACAGGCTACTAGTAAGTAAATGAATAACACCTGGTATTTGAAAAGAAAACACCATCGGTAGGGCAGTTGGCAGGGATTCTTCTTTGTCTGGATTAGACATTGTGAACATTTACCAGATCAACCACCTTCAGCCTCAGACAGAATGACAAGATTCTGCTCAGGAGCAGAATAATTCTGTATGGATGCAGACATACAACTCCAGAGGCTGGGAAAACTTTAGTATGAAAAAAAAAAATATTTATGGTCATTAAAGGCACCTTCAAAGTTATGCAAGTTGAGCTTGGGAGGGTAGTTGACATTTAGGAAAGTTTATGTCTTTATGGAATTAGGCTCTTCATTCTTAATGTCTTGGTTCACTGCCTTTAAAATGAAGGTAAAACATCACTTTTACATCTCAACAGGGTGTTGTACAGAGAACTACATTAAAGTCTGGGAGACGCTTAGAATTACTTAACTACAGCCATATAAACATCCAAAAAAAAAAAAAACACAATGGCAAAAGTGCTACCATTTCAAAGTTAATAAACCTGCTGAAATTAAAAGTATAAAAATTAAAATCTCAATAGCTGAAAACTATACTTGGAAAACACATTAATTCTGTAAGGAGGAATGCATCTCTAAATGACAATACATGGTAGCTATAATGCATGTTTATGTGCTAATTGTCCTGGTTAACCATTAGAAATAAAATACCCAGATCCAGATAAAAGAATAAAATATTAAAAAAAAAAAAAATCAAATACTTGGGCTGGCTTTCTCTCTGTAGCACTCTCACACATCCTCACGGCGAGCAGGTAGAAGAACACTGTGTTCTATTCTTAAGCATTTGCTGCATGGCTCCAGAGTCAGTATCTTCAGGAGCAAGCCCTGTACACCTACACCCACAGCCCTGTTTCTGAAGCCAAGCAAGAAAAATTAAGTAAATGTAGTCCTAATATGTGCGATGAAAATCTTGAGAACACGAAGCAAATTACTGTCTGTCAAACTCCACAGACACAGAAATGTTCATTTTAGAAGGAGTGCATATACAATGCACCTGTCAGAAGGATGCAACATCTTATAGAACCTCATTACTTAAAAATCTTTTCCAAAAGAGTTGGCAATTACAAGAACTCTCTCACAAATGTACCAGGGTTCAACTCTCTGTTAGAAAGAGCCTATGGGAGGATGAGAAGTTAAGATTCCCCATACCGCATGCATTCTGCATTACTGCATCCTTTGCTGTTTAAATACTATTGTAGACTTCCTTACCTCTTATGCTTGTGCTAGGTTCTTGAAGTTCCAATTCCATGTAATGAAGCTGTTTTTTGGAAGTAGGGCTGACAGGAATATTAACATAGGTGGCTGTCTCGCTGTGGGGACGATCTGATGCAGGAACATCAGCTGAATAACCTACTGCCCCTTCTAAAATAAGTAACATGTTATTATAGACACTGTTTGCAATGACCAATGATCCATTTCATAAAAACACACTGTCCCATCAAATATTCTGAAAGCAAACATTCAGGAGCAGCAACTCAGCTTACCAAACAGCACATTCCTCAGTCGTAGACAGGACATGAGAAGACTAAAGTTTCTACAGAAAAGATCCTCAGAGACTGATCAAGCCAGGATCTATGCAGAAGACCACAGACGACAGCCAGTGATCTCAGTGGCTTGTGACAGAAAGCAAACACTATGCCGAAATTTTCCAACAGAAGCAATGTGTGCAACACTACCGCACAAGGCTTTCAGCTCTAACTCAGGTTAGTAAAGCCTTATACAAAGCAATCTGTTCTAGGAAGATGTGGACCCTTATATCATCCACAAGAGAGCAACCAAAATCACTAGAGGTTCAGAAAGTAAGTCCTGAAAACAGGGACTGAAGCAAGGGGAAGACAAGCTTCAAGACATCGACAGCTTCTCTGTACAGAGTTGAAAAAGACAGGAATGATGCTGAGTGGGGACAGACCAAGTAATAAAATACTTCAATTGCAGGGAAAAAGTAGAAGATTAGACAGTGGGAAAATCTTTCTAATAGTAAAGATTGCAAAAACACTAGAGGAAACCCCACAGAGACTGAAGAATTTCTGCATCTAGAAATTTCTAAAAAAGAAATAGACTAACACCTACTAGGAAACAGTTTTCTATAAAGTGACTCTGACTTAAAGACAACTTTTTTGTCTACTGGTTGAATTCTCAAGACCTCTTCTAGCACTACTTTCAATTGTTCTAATCTTGTCAGAAATGAAATGAAGAGAGAAGGTAGAAGGTTCCTTTCACTGGGCCAACCAGGCATTTCAGCCTTCATCCCCTTCCTGACATCAGGCGCCTAACACCTAGTTTTTCAATCCATGAATACCAAGGGACTTCCCAGAATTACCTGGGCTACAGGAGACCCAAATACAAACCTGTATTCTCTCTGTGCTCAGGCAAGGCTTTGAGGCACAGTTTCATTGCCCTACTCAGCAGGCTAGGAATCACCTGTCTGTCCCGTCCAGTTGAAGTTCTTACCCTTAAACACTTTCTGCTGTTAAGTCGATTTGGGAGAGAGGAGTGCAGAGGAAAAATGGTATCACTGTCAGGTTCTCCCTTTCCCTAAAGTTCTCCCATTAAGCCCTTCCTTGTCCCCACATAAAACTTGTATCAAAACTTTATTTGTCCAAATCACTGCTTTGCTTTTCTGCCCGTTCAGACACTGATGAGATGTGAATGGAGAGGCAGAAGGTGATCAAGGCTTTTGTAGCACAGGAGAGAATGACTTCTGCTATCCAACCAACAGCAGCTGTGAATAACCATTTAGGGGAATTTTTCTTCTTCTTGGACTGTATTATGAATAGCAGAGATAATTCATACAAAGTTGGGCAACAGCAAGAGTTGTCAGAGGTTACAGCAGGTTCCAGGATAACAGAATTTCTCCAGGCTTAAGCTATTTAAAACAAAGGAGTCTACTATGCAGTCCAAAATTTTAAAAGCCTGGAAAGTTTCTGACAGATTTTCATAAAGAAAACATAGGAACATCCACGAAGTAACCAAATATTTTTCTCACCATCAGACTTCAAGTTGTTGTTCCAAAGCCAGGTGTTAGGAACAAAATGAAAAGGAAAAAAAAAAAAAAAACAAAAAGAAGAAATTTCTATATCTTCATCAAACAGCATTCTCAGAAATTATTCTCAATTATTGTGTCTAAAGTATATCAAAGGAATTTGGCCTGACTGTGCCAAAAGGGATTCAGCAGAACCATGGCATTGAAAACCTGCATCCCAAATAGTTAAACTTTTAAGCAAATGACTGTCTTAAGGACTGATACGGAGTCACAGATAGTCATGAAGGAAAAGATAATTTTTAAAGTCTTTCTATACACTGTTGAAGTGATGTAGCAGGAGTTTAAGTGAAGTCTCCTCAAGGCTAGCTAACGTGAAAACCAGCAAACTTCTCTGTAGAGCTAAATAGCTGAAAGGTTTCAGGAAGCTGAATGTCATATCTGATGCAGACAAGCCAAGAGATTTTCCTGAGAACTAAAAAAACACAGATATATTAATTGGTGGGGCTTTGTGCAAGAAAAGCAAAAGAAGCACAAAGAAGAAAGAAACCCCTGGCAACAATCAAATATTCTTGCTATAACTTGACTCAAAGGAAAAAAAAAAAAAAAAAAAGAAGAAAAAAGTTGGGCAAACTGGAATGGAAGGAAAGCAAGCCTTCTGTTTTTTAGCCTGTGCTGTCTTAACAGAAACTGTGCTTTCTTTGTAAACACAGAAATACTTGGCTTTTCATTTTTCCTGCAAATAAAAAAAAACTCATTAGATACTAAAAACTGGCTTGTATTTGTTTGAAGAGAAAGGTTTATTTGAAAAGCACAAGGCAGTCAAAAGAAGAAAGAAAGAAAACAAGGCACACACAGGGAGCCATGAACAAAGACGGTGCTTTCAGCAGCCCATTCTGGGTGGACAGAGGTAGAAGATGCTTACAAGAGGGGTCAGAGGACCAGTATTTGAGATCATTATGGACGGAGAATTTGGGAGAAAAACAGACCAAAGTGCATGATTACAACGCTCTGAAAGAATCATGATTGCTTGAAGGGAAAGGGGGAAAATGCAGGAAGAAAAAAAGATAGCTAAGAAAATAACAGGAGAAGAGTAAAAGAGAAAATGCAGTGGTACTGAAATGAGGGGGAAAAGAAAGGAAAAGATAGTATAATTCAGAAGGGAAGAAGAAAATTATATTTGAAACTGGTGTTTTAGCCTTTCTTTCAGCAAGTGTTAGTTATCCATATTTTCTACCCTATGTAGGCACCATTCTCAGAAATGTGCAATAAATAATGCAGAAAGAAAACCAACACCATAAACACAGCCCTGAGCTAAATGTGTGTGTGTGTGTGTGCGTGCATGTAAAGCTGGCATGTTCAAAGGGCACTACCTCAAAAATAAACATTTAGAAGAGACCACAACAAAAAAGGAAATGGAAAAAGAAACAGGAGATGTTAGTGTCCTCTAATGCAACTGGCTCCAAAGATCTTTACTCACCAGGTTCCTCAGGGCTAGTAGGAGTTCCAGGTTCTGCAGGAAGTGTTAGCATCTCATAACCACCTTTAGGACCTAGAATACAGGAGCACCATCAATGGCTTGGGATTTAGGAATTTGCACAATGAAAACAAAGCATGTGATTTTCTGGTTTTGTCTTGTGACCTTGTAATCTGAATAATCATACTGAATAATCTCAGAAAGTATAAACAGTGGTTAGTGTTGACTTTTCTGTAGTGGTGATGCCAGCATTTTCTAATGAGTGTAACACCAAGGAAATAAAAATTCGGACTTTTTACAAGTATTCACACTGAAGGCCACTGAAGTCAACAGTGCGTTTTGCTGTACATCAATGTGGGAGCAAAACTGTCTTGAATGCATGAATCAGGGAGAAGTGCGTGGGTGATCTTGGGAGCATCTGGAAGACTCTTGTTAAAATTCCACCTCCAGCTTGATGGATAACTTCTTGATTTCTGACAAAGCTCTGTAGAAAATGCTTAAACTAGCCCTTCCAAAGATAACTTTGCTTTCCAAGTGCAAATCGTCATCTTTGCAAGAAGCCAGGTCGCACAACATCACCGGTGCTTCCAGAGCACTAAGCTGAAAAAAAATGCCCAGGTTCTCTCATGATCTCAGACTCCACCCAAGTTCAAACAAGGCAAGATAAAAAGCTGTGCCCATAGAATAAACATATTGGCAATAATTTTGAATGACAAACACTCATAATCTTATCTGCTGCTGTTGTTTCTTTCTCTATTATCATGAAGAAGTATCTTTAAATGTGGTGGGGTTTTTTTCCCACCACATCATTGTTAGGGTACAGGATTTCTCATGGCCCAAGGTGGGGTTTTTTTTGGTGGGTGCCCTTTGTTAAAGTGCTGGCAACATTTTACTGCTGTGAATAAGATTACTGCCTATGCTCTGACACTTATCTCATTTGTCACTGCTTCTTCTAAACTTATCCCATCTGTCAATGCCTTTCTAACAAAAACCCTGCAAAGCAAAAAAACCCAAAGAAATACATAAGTCTTACAACAGAGAATCAAGTCGTACATTACCTTTAACATTTTCTGAAGTTTAAAATAATTTAAGTTCAAATTAATTTAAATTTACATGCACACACGTACCTTGTAACCCCTTACACTTACCAGCTTGGAAACTGTGCCCTCTATGTACTTTCAAAGACCCAGAAGCTGCCATGACAGAAGCACCACCTGTTTTCAAAGACAGATATTCACATTTAATCTAAATACCTGTTGCTATTATTAGATATCTTCTGTGCATCAGCATTTTTGGTAAATGATTCTGAAACATCAAGAAAAGTTTCAATAAGAATTACAAGTCATTGTTCTTCATTTAAGCAATATTCCTTTTTTTTGCTAAATTCTTTATCCTGAGATTGCGGCACTATAATCTAATTTTGTTGTCTTCTTTCTTTAGAAATAAAGGATGCTTTCCTTAAAACTTCAGGATACTGGCCTCCCTGTTTGTGGTGAGTACTACCTTACTCAGAGAGATAGTCGTCTTGAACTGAGAAGTAAAACGGCAATGAAAACTGAGTGGGGAGTTGTCTTTGCAATCCATAACGTAGCTTTGGCAACCACAAAGTTTAAAGCATTCATTAAAATCTTATCAGACTGGATCCAAAACCCATTAAAATGAATAGGAAGGACTGTATCACACTTCAGTAGACCACCGTCCAGTTTAGGACATGCATAAACTGGGGCAGAGTGAAGGGTAGGCGAAGGATCTAACTTCTGTGGGGTTTGAGTCCAGGTCATGGCTGGTTCTTGTGAAATATTGTTCCAAGTGTTTCAGCCAGGAAAGCTTTACCGAGGGCACGTCAGAAGGCACAGTCAGTCTGTCCCCAGCCCTATTCAGATCAGCAAGAAGCTGTCCCAGTACAGTACTGGGTACGGAAGTTTGAGGAAACAAGAGCTAGCAGCTCGGAAACCTAGGGTGGCACGCATGTAGTGTGGTTTGTCTACATACACATATCCCTTCTTTATTTATCCAACAAACTAATCAGCATTATACCTACCTGTTCGGTTAGCGTTATCCCTATCTAGCTGCGAACGTCTTGTCTCTACTGTCGTCACTGTGGGCACCTTAATCAAGATGAGTGGCATTGACTTCCTCACATGAATAATTTTGAGGGAACTTGTTATGCAAGTAAATGGTACTTAACAGAAATAAGGTAGGAGGCTGTGTTTATGAGTAACCCTGCCACTGGTGACAGGGCAGCTGTGCCATGTGCTGCTGGGTGTTGGGGATCACGTATAAAATTAACGCTCTCTTCTACACTTATGAATAGTCTCTGAGCATGTGAGCCACTTCTCTGCAAATTATTTTTAAAATGGCCTTAAAAAATTACCATAATTCTTACACAACATGAAGAAATTCTATAAAATAAATAGCAGTCTCAAAGACCTAAGAAATCTGCATGACCTAGGAACCTAAAGAAAATGACAATTTCTTATTTTTTCCCCTGTATACAGTATATATTCATACAATTTTTTTCTAAATCTAATAATTTACAAGCTTATAAAATTATTCCTACACTTTTATAAAATAAATCTAAATAAAACCCACAAATTATTTCACTTAATGAGGAAAATGGATTAAAAAATAATGAACACCTATTTCAAAAGTGCACAACTGAACTAAAACCTTTAGATCTGTAGCCTTTGTATACAAAAACGCATATATGGAGTAATCCAAGGCTACAAAAAAAAATTTCAAGCTTACCATACTGAGAAACTGATCTTGTATTTTAACAAATGAGATCAGATTGTAGAACCTTTACATACTGTGGTAAGGACTTAACCACTAAAAGCATTATTTGAAATTTTGTTTTTAACAAGACTGCTGAGAAAAATAAATGCAAAAATACGACAGCCCTGGACTAGCTGATTTACTTATATTTTTATTGTAACTGGTTTTCCTTTTTCTCACCTCAGAGCATCCTGTCTCTGCATTATTAAGAATATCAGAACATGCTTTATGCAGCTGAAAGCCTTACCTTACTTTGAAGAAAGACTACAGCTTTATGCTAATTGCAGCTTCATCACAAAACTGGAGGGGGGGTCTTTCCCTCAAAAACTTAATATAATTCAACAGAAATCATTCCAGAGGAAACATGGATTTTTAAGCAACATTTTTAGGATTTGTGAAAAGCACGCAGGACAGGAAAGGAGGTTTAAAACAATAAGATATTCCAATCCATTTATGGTCAAGTTGAAGTTTTCCCATTTGGAGCTTGTTTAAAAGAACTATGTTAATGCTTCAGGATTTGACCTGTTGCATTTTCCTCATTTTCAAATCTGGCAACTAACAAATATTTACACAGTCAAATCTTTCATGGAATTTTTTTGAAACTTTGAACTGCATCGTATAAACACGTGTCAACAGAGATCGACCTAGATATTTTCTTCCTTCTTTACAGCTACCATATAAACTGGTTCGTTTCTCATTTATGAATCCTAGGATAACACTTGCAGGAATGGAAAAAGAAAGTTAGGATGATAAATTTCTGAACATACAAAGCATCCAGCAGGAGACAGACATTCCCTTCCATCACTCTTTTCATCTTACAAGGGATTGTTAAGAATAATTTTCTCAGTTTCCCCTGCCATCCAGTTCTGTGTGGCTGGCTCGCTCAAGTCTTTGTTAAAACTGAGTAGCTCATCAAGAGAGTTATTTCTGTTCTACTTTCCTCAATGTGTAAGAGGAAGAAGATATTCAAAATGTGACAAAATGAAAATATGCTGCAGAACATTTTTCATTCCTACATATGACTAGACTCAAATGTCTGATATAGCTCAATGAAGACAACCACTTTTTGAAACATTTTTCTAACTTCATAGTCATTTCTTTATGCCCACTCTTCAAAAACAAGCACAGTTTACAGCATGTGTGCTACAAGAAAAAGCCATGAAAAAAAAATTAACAAATGAGAGGGAAGCTGGAATACCTGCTATAAACTGAGCCCAGGCAGTTTACATTTTCAAATCCTGTCACCTATCATTACATGGCCAGTGAGTAGACACATGCAATACTACACTGCATTTACCAAGTGATCACTTCTTACTGCCCAGCCTCTACTTTGCTTTTATGCAGTAGTTCACAAACTCTACAGGTCTGGGCTATTAAATTTGCTGACAAGGAGTCAGGAGAGAAGAAAACACTATGCTCTATGATAAATTCTTCCTTCTTATTGAATTAAAACTACCTTTGTTACGAAGTACTTTGATCCACTCAGCCAAGCAACATTTCCATCTTCTCCTTTGAAAACAAATACCTTGCTTAAAAGAGCATCCAAAACCTAGAGCCACTGCCTGACAGGAGAAATACTGCAAGTACACCAGGAGTTTTTTTCATTTCAATGTAATGAAAGACTTCCTGGTGATGTATAATTGCCTTATAAAACTTCCCTAAGTTTGTTACTTTTCAGTTTTGAAAGTGATTTCATATATTTTCTGCTATACAAATGGTGTTACCTGCAATACATAAAAGCTGAAGGGGATGTTTAAAAATGCTTACTTGCTCTACAGATTTTGCCGTATTTGGAAATGCCTCCTCTCTCTCTAACCGTCAACTTCAGAAGCAGCGAAATCACTCAAAACTAGGAATGCATTCAGGCACAGTGACTGTCCAAATATGGCTCCACAAAGATGCCTGTTTAGTGTGTCCAAAAGAATCATAGAGGATCTATCTACCTCTGGCTATTATTCATCTTCCCATGCTGTAGGGCCACTCCAGCCCAGCATCCCCTCCTTAAAAATGCAAAAGTGTTAAGCTGGAATCATTACCATTTGCCTGTACCAGGAAACTCAGTGTCTGTTGTTTGAAAACTATACCTTCAAAAATGCTTTACTTACATTTGCTCCAAAAATCTCGATGCATCTGAAGCTCGGGATCTACACTGGCCAAGAATGAATGTCACATAATGAGTTTCCTTAATAGAAAAAAAACCAAACTGAAATAATCACTATGTTTGCAAATAAGGTTCCTTACCTTTGTGTTCTATAAGGCTGGGATATTTAATTTCCCCAGATTTCAGTTGTCAGAGGAGGCATGGGGAAGCAAGTCAGGAATACAGAGAAGGCAGGACTAGAGGGTCACTGTGGCATGGACTTACCACCTTCTGTTACCCCCAAAACAAGGAGCAGGACCCTGCTGGATCTACTCAGCCCAGAGGATGAAGCAGCAGCATTTGGATCATTCGCTAGCACATGGTTTCACTGCAGTGACTTTTTTTTCCCTCCTGTCAGGCCCCTAGTAATTCAGAGGGTCACTAAGGCCAAGGTTTAGCTTGTAAATGCAATACATATTTTAATCAACTTACTTAAACAACTTTTTCTGAGCTCCTATTTTTCTTCCCCTACAAAATTATTTTGAGTGCACTTATAAAATAAAGCACGATCGAGAAAGAGCATGTCATATTATGGTAGGGTTTTCACAGCATCACAGAATCATAGAATTGTTTAGGTTGGAAAAGACCTCTAAGATCATCAAGTCCAACAGTTAACCTAGCATTGCCAAGTCCACCAGTAAACCATGTCCTCAAGCACCACATCCACACACCTTCTAAACATCTCCAGGGATGCAGACTCAGCCACTTCCCTGGGCAGCCTGTGCCAGTGCCTGACTACCCTTTCAGGGAAGAAATTTTTCCTAATATCCAACCTAAACCTGCCCTGGTGCAACTTGAGCCCATTTTCTCTCATCCTATCCCTTGTTACTTGGGAGAAGAGATCAACCCCCACCTCGCTACAGCCTCCTTTCAGGTAGTTGTAGAGAGCAATAAGGTCACCCCTCAGCCTCCTCTTCTCCAGACTAAACAAACCCAGCTCCCTCAGCCGCTCCTCATAAGACTTGTGCTCCAGACCCTTCACCAGCTTCGTTGCCCTTCTTTGGACACGCTCCAGCACCTCAATGTCCTTCTTGCAGTGAGGGGCCCAAAACTGAACACAGGAGAT